CCGATCTGATACCAAAAGTTCAGGCCGGCAACAAATGGGATTGTGTAGTTTTAAGGCTGCTGTGAATTCCTCTCAAACATCAACACAAAAAGCTGAGCTTGAATGGAAGTCACTGTCCTAAATTCAGCAGGCGTGATGCATTTTTACAGCCATAATTTGCATGTCACTGTGACAGGCGGAAGAAGAAGTAGTTCCTACCAGTCATTTAGATCCTAATGATAAAGTCCACTGTGTTCCTGTTAATGATGGACTACAGATGTCGATATTTTAATCTGAGAACCAAAACTATAACATAAATATCTGCTGTTGGAAGAATCAATATTTCAGTAACACGGTAGCTTCAGTGAAGTGTTAGATGGGTTCACTGAGGCTGTGTGTCTGTGGCTGACCGTGGAGGACGGCAGAAGCATGAGCTGATGTCATCACAACATGTTCTTCTCCATCACGCTGCTCGTCTCTGTTCCTGCACAGAGTGCAGCTACACAGCCTCTCAGCTTTTAACAGACCATAACTAGCAATTCCCAGCATGCAACTGGGCAAGTGGGAATGTGTTAATTGGCAGTTATTATTGTGAAGTTGATGAAGTAAACAGTATGCTATGCTGGCCCATTATCAGCTCCAGTCAGTGCTGCACAGCTCGGCCCAGTCTGCAGGTGCATTTCCACTGCATGCTCTCCTGCACCTGAGACTGAGGACAGACCAGAATCGCCCTTTATTGTCACCGTACATGTGCAACGATGTTGTGAGTGCTCCACAGCAACTGTGCAGTAATAAAAAGTATGAATAGCAGGAATAAATAACAAACATGACAAATGCATCCAAACGAGGAGGAGTGAGTGCAGCGGGCGCGGCACGAGTGCAGTCCGTGTGTGACAGCGCCTCAGCATCTGACATCAGCACTGCTTCCTCCTCAGTGTGCAGCTGCAGCCTCGTCACCAGGCACAGACTCCACCTGAGAAAACATGAGTTTATTTTGGAAGACAAAAAATATGCAAAGACTGAAACAGTTTTCTTTGACCTCGCTCATCGTTAACTTGTTTAAACGGAGCACACTCGTCTGTGCATCTACTGGCTATGTTTTGGAATTAAATTCATATATATTTGATGAAGCTGTTTCCTCGTGTTTGTGTCGTAGGGAGTTTTGGGAGACGTTGCACTCATTTGGCGAGGAGCAGAAACGCCTCTTCCTACAGTTCACCACCGGCACCGACAGAGCGCC